TCTGCGGACAGCACTGACGAGTGAGGAGATGGCGTTCCGGAGTATTTTTACCAAAGACTGTGAAACTTACACATTGCGTTCTGATTCAGCAGCAGTTCATTTTGGCTTTCCTCATATTAGCATGAGGGTAACTTCGAAATAATGAATAATAAATATCCGTTTGTGTGTGAAATGGCGCACACTCCCAAAACCATATTCAAAGGTATATTGCACTGCCTCCTGGCTCCTCCTTGCATGGTCATTTAAGCCAACCACTGCTGCATGATATCCGAATGCCTGCAGTTCCAGGGGCTTATCATTTCATCATGAACAACTTTCCTATGTTTCAGGAAGGGTGCCCAGTTTATGCTGCTGCATACATGAATATTTTTTCGTATTCCAGCCATGTCGAACAACGCCTAAATGCTCCGACACCAGGTTTCAAATTTGTGTTTGAAGGCGATTGGCAACTACTCATTGCTCACACCTCTCAGCTGCAAATGTTACCTTGATGTATACCTTCATTCAGCAAAACCCGCGATCACGGATGCACCACAAGTCTCGTATGAATGAACATCATTCACGGTGACTGTGGTGAATTTTACTCTTAAGAACATTTCATGCAGCTGGTGGCATAATCGGCATAATGGGAATGGGCATAATGAAGAGACAGGATGTGTCGAAACTGTCGCACGGATAAAAAACGTCGTCCTCCTTTTAAATGATGATGACGTCATCACAAATTTAATCTGCATTATTATTTTTCGTGCACGAACGTAAATTAGCCACCCGATGATGATGCTATTCTTTTTGTAGCGAAACGCCTGGGCAATAAGCTGTTAACATCTGTGTTGTTTAGTGCCTTCAATGATGAATCGGCAAAAAATCAACAATTTTAACAACGGGCTCAAAATCGTCAATTTTATGTCATATTTTTACAATTACATTTCTTTTCCCAGTATTTGAAACTATTGTATTTACGATGTTCATTTCTTAACATCGTCATTGAAGTGTCAGTCGAATCTGACCTATGGTCCAGTGGAATCTTTGACCTCAGTTCTTGAGCTTGCACGAACATTGGGTCTTCAAAAAAATGAACCTCTGCGTTTTCAGATTCTGTAGCTGCAAAACTTTTCATCACGCACATTTGCACGATGTTTATTTAATATTTCTTTCCCTGCACTTTTTAATTGCAAATTTAATGCCAAGGTAAACATGAAACCTCAGGAATGTGAATAATACAATGTCTCGAAATCCATCACCGCTCCTGCGCTAATCAACCGGTAGGCTAGTTCAACTTATAATGTTAAATAGCCGACGTAGAAAACGCAGGAAGGGTTTACCTGCTTCTGTAGCGACCTCACCAGCCGGAAGTACCCTCATAGTTTCGAAGGCAACGACGGAAACATGGCGCATCATCTTCCCTGTTGCAAAATTTCAGCCATTCTCGGTTTTGAAAATTCATATTAGTTTATATATTTTTCTTTCATTTGACTCAATCAAGAAGCACACTATGACACTGTAGATGGTTTGCTGATCCATGGTTGAAGGAACTAAACCCAAATGCTCTCAAATATGAATCGACAACCCGTCTGCGATGTCAGCGTCGGACAAAGCATCGGAAATTTCATGTCATGCTTATGTTGTGAAGTCACTTATTGACAGATTAATATTAATGTTTGAAATTTTTTATGCTTCAGGTGTGCAGCATCGAAGCGCTACTAGGACTGATCAGCGTAAGGTTCGGTTCGTCGTTGTCGTTGATCGAATTAGCCACCGACCTCATTACGGCGCCTGTCCTACATGAATTGGCGAATAAATGCCCAAACCTGCAGTACCTGACTCTTGGTAAAAAGCAATCATGTGGTTGTCACGATTTCTGGGATCATTCATCGTGTTCCAGACTTCTCTTCGGCGATGCAGCTACACGACTTTGCTGACCTGCAAGCGTTTCCGACTCGTCTACGTTCCCTAACAATATGCCTGTCTGAAAACATTTTTCTGGAAGGATTTATGCGGAAAATATATTCATTCCTTAATCCCCTGGAAATCCTTCACATAATCGGTAATTATTATGTTGACTGTTACATTCACTGCTGTTATGGGAAGTTAAATTATGCATAGGATTTTGTCTAAAATCGATATCACTCTCCCCTTTCGCTGGGTTGTTTGCTAAAATACCGTACCGTTTATCATCAGAGCCACCTGGGTTTAACAGATATCGCAACTGACGATCGCAAGCAATCACGACAACCAATTCTACCCTATCAAAATAAGATCAGAGAAATCACACAGCACGTTTGCGACTGCTTCCAATATGAAAGGTGAAACAGCCACTACTTTTCCAACCGACAGACGGAAGACCCCTAGACATGGCGAAGAATGACCTCAGGCAAGAGTTTGAACAGACTCTGCTCAAGACTCAGATTTTCCTCTGCAGAGGCTCAAACGCTAGCACAGGAGAGGAAACGTTGGAGACACTGTATGAAGCGTCTGCTTTCACGTCCTAAAAAATAAAAGGTCATCATAACTAACTGTCTGATTAGAGAAATTGAACTGTATTAAACTATGTCTACTGCTAAACCTAAAGCATAGTCTCTTACACGTTTTAATTTGTGTTTTGACCTCGGCTAAGCCGAGTCTTAGGCAATAGCGCAATAAAAGTAATGTTCTGTTTATTTGGACTGAATAATGAGTGTGAACTAGTCCACACTCATATGGACCGTTTATCATTCAGTATGATTGTATATACCACACTCAAAGTTGCCACTGAAGAGCCAAATGTGCGTACTGTTAGCATATCTATTTCTTCATTAAACAAGCAAATTTTTATGTTTTTCTTGAGCTTACTTCTTTTGTAGTACCATTCCTTTTATGTAGATGACAAAAGATTATAGATTGTCTTTATAGGCACTTATGAAAAAATAGAGGATGAAGAGGAAGAAGTGTATGAAACAATAAACCTTCATAAGCTGAAAGCATTTACCCCTAACCTAAGAGTGGTCAATTTTTGGGGAGTACGAATATCTTACGTGGTGGTCTATGCGCAATGAATACTTTTGATTTAGATGGCTTTCCTGAACGATGACCACATTAATTCGCTGTCGTCCAACACGCCTCAGTTGGAGTGCTTGGCGATCAACTTTTGCCAGAACATTACCGGAACATGCTTGAAAACATTACTTACGAGGTGTAAACGAATTAGGACACTCCTCATGGAACAAACCGGTAAGAAAAGTTCATTCTCTTTCAGATACGATGCGAAATATTTGAAGCTTGCATGTTCCAGCGCTTCTACATAAGGAAGTGATGGATATTGAATGGGACAAGACTCCGATCGAGGAACTGAACATCAGTGCGACAGAACTGTCCTCTGAGTGCCTTATCAGTCTGTTGACTCGCCTGCCGAAACTCAGGTGGTTGAGTGCCACGTTCCTAGAGAATTTCAATGACCAAGTAATACTTTTTTCTTTAGTTGTTTTTCACGTTCTTCGCATGGTTTGCAACGAGTGAATGCCCTTACACTTTTAATAGACACTGTAATATGTTGGAATAGTCAAGTCTGCTGCCTTTGTTCCACCGCTGTGGTGGATTCTACTGATTGATCTCGCTACATCCAAAGATTCTTCTCAATAAATTAATTTGCTCAACAACAAATATATGACAAAAATTTGGAGCGATGCAATGTCTTCTGTTCGTACGGTGTTGGAAACAACTTCAGGTATTTTTTTTTCAAAAATTGAGTGCTGCAAATTTCACCTGCTGCATTCAAAAACATGACGATTCCGGGTTCTCAAACCGACTGGTTTTCTGTCCACTCCATGGCTGTCTCTCGTGTCACCCTAGGAAATCAGTTCTTTTTCTGGAAACTGTCATTTCTGACGTCATATAAACATGTTGAAAAAATGTGAATGTCTCAGAGATTGTCCCACGTTTTAGGGAATCTGCTTGTGATCGCATGTAATATCACTTGTTTGCAAGATTGCATATCATTTACCGCTGTAGAGCACTCATTAGATCAAGGACATCCGTTCAGGGAGGCTGGAGTGTCTGTTTTTCATAAAAATAGGAACTGTCCGTATTTATTCGCATAGCAGTTAATAAGGATATAATATACAATAGGCGTTCTTCTTCTTGCATATTTAGGAATAATTTGGGTACTGTTGGTAAGCTGTGACACACCGTTAAATTCACAAACGCTGCTGAATCTGAATATCTGTTTCGCATTCCCATTCCTCTTACTATTGTTTTAATATTTATCGCTAATCCAGTAACTAAAAGTGTAATATATAACTTCTTGATACGATTTTATTTTTGAAAGGGTTATCGAATGGCAGCAGCTGATTTATTAAACGATATAGCATTGTTCAGAGTTTCAAGGAAAATTAAATTACTTTGAATTATTTTCAGTAATTAGTTGTAATAAAACAAAAACAGCTAACGTTACAGTCCTATTCGCACAAATGCAGCTATCTGGCATAACTGTCCATGCAAAATTAAGAAGAGGCATAGTAAGTGTTGTAGGTTTAGTAGTGACTGTCATGTTATATAGAATAAGTCGAATATTATTGTAATCATATTTAATCTGGAACAGCAACGTTTTCTTTGGTGTAAACAGTTCACTGTAAACAGGTCATCGTTGACGTTTGGTCATGACATGATGAAAGGGCTTTTGAGTTTCAGTAATACAGTATACAAGATAAAACAAGAATACAAGTAATAATGTGATATTTACGGCATATTCATTTTGGCGTTTCTTTTATTCGTACTGTTTGGACTTTTAATACTCTATTCAACCAATATTACCTCTGCTTAAAGCCTTTGTGCCCTACTTTCGGATCAGTCTGTTACCGTTTCTCTCACTATGAAAGACCTAGGGCCAAGAACTGCGTTGCTATTAGGAAAAATGGCAGCTTTCGTATGTTGAAACGATGAAAATCGGTACTTTATGAATCACGACGCATTAAATGTTTTGTTAAGTCTTGTATTTTCACTGTACAGCAGCAGTCTTCTGCAGATAAACAACACATTCGATATTTTTAGTATTTTGTTTATTCTGATAAAGACGGTTGTTGTACAGTTCGAACGTTCAGGTGGTAAATTTTTTTGCCGCATTCGGTCAAACTGTCGTTGCTTCCGACCTCACTGCAAGCACTGTAATTTACTATCGATCTATTAAGTCGATGAGTATCAAAGCAAACAATAAATACTCATTACGGTACCGTCAAGCTTACTTATTACTGTATTTACCAAACTGTTTCCGTTTTATAAAAATCAACTGTTTTACTAG